CAAACTAGTACATCTGGGAAATAAAGGAAACAATCAGAAACCCAGATATTTAGTGAGAAGGAGAAACCAGGACAACAGCCAAACAGATCTAGAGGGAGAGAGGGGAGAACTTTAGATGGAAGTTGGCAGACAGCAAGACCAGCAAAAGGGGGAAGGAAGACAAAAATAGAGTTTCGACGGTTCTATTCTCTTTACATCTGGAAGTAGAGAGCCTCGCCTCTCAGGGCAACTAAGCCCTGGGCCACTCAGCCCTTTGTACCCCCAAAGTAGAGAATAACTGAGGCCTGGTACAATAGAGCATTAGATAAGGGCTCAGAAAACTTGGTTTTCAGTCCAGCTTGGACCTTGAAGCTATGTGACCTTGGGCAAGCCCTTTCTTTTCCCAGGGTTTCAGCTTTTGACCTTTAATAATAACATTCATCACTAATATTTGTGGAGCATTTAAGTACTGTGCTAGGCCCTTTTTGCATTGTCTCTTTTATTCCTTCCAACTCCCCTATTACTACACCCATTAAAATTTTTTTATTGTAGTAAAGTATACATAACAAACTTTACCATTTTAACCATTTGTAAGTATACAAATCAGTGACATTAAGTACATTAACCATGTTGTGTAACCATCACTACTATCTATTTTTCAGAACTTTCCATCATCAAACAGAAGCTCTGTATCCATTAAACAATAAATCTCTATTTTCCCATCCCCCAGCCCCTGCTAGTCTCTATTCTGTTTTCTGTCTTTGTGAGTTTACCAATTCTAGGTACCTCGTATTAATGGAATTATACAATATATGTCCTTTTGTGTCTGGTTTATTTCACTTAGCATAATGTTTTCAAAGTTCATCCATGTTGTAGCATGTATCAGAATTTTCTTCTTTTTTATGGTTGTACACCCATTTTACAAGGAGAAATCCAGTGTTAAGAGAGATTAAGAAATTTTCCCAAGATCACAAAGATTAGAAAGTGCTAGAGCTGGGACTTTAACTTGGGTCTGAATCACTGTGTGCCATGAGAGAGTCAGATCTCTAAAGTCTCTTCTAGTTCCAGAATGGTATGAATCCCATGTTAAGTGTTCAGTCCTTTGATGTCAGAAAAATTTCCATTAAAAGATCTTTTTTGCGTTTGATCTAAGATAGTCCTAATCTGAAAACAAATATATTTTTCTCACTTAGCAGCAGTCATACAAATTATTGTGCTTCTTGGTCTACTGTGTTGCACAAGCCACGGGTGCATTAGTAGGTATGGTTGGCAAAAGATTGAATGTGTGTGTGCATTCAAGAGAGAGGGATGAGGAAAAAAGATGATATATATCCCTAAGAAGTAGTCTATAACAACAGTTCCAGAATTGGTTCATAATTATGGAAGCTACCAATTAGTATTGGTCCAACGTTAATAGTAAGTAAGTTTAGGAAAGTACTTATTACAAGTGTGCTTGCTTCCTTTGCTGGATAATGCTTGAATTCTGTAGAACAAAACCCTTCATCTTGCAATTAGAAATATGGCTAAATTATCAATTAAAATTTAAAAAGAAAAAAAGAAATATGACTCAAGATGCACAAACCTGTGAAAAGCAATACAGACACTTAAATCTACAACCAGGTTTAAATTACATCAAATTCTATTCATGGAAACAGATTTTTTTACCGGGAAAGGATAGAAAGAAGCTAAAGTGTGATTGTGGACAGAGTAGAGAGAAACCCTGATGGGAAGATTTAGCACTGAGAACTCACTTTGCCTGTCCCAATTTCAGCCAGGTTTAGCTCAGGTAAGTATTGTGAGGAGCAGGGTGGAAAGTTTGATGAGAAGGGCAGTCCCCTGATTTTGTGGTTCTCATCCTTGGCTGAGGAGCTTTATAAACATACTAATGCCTAAATCCTAGCCACAGGAATTTTGAATTAATTGGTCTGGGATGTGGCCTGGATATAGAGATTTTTAAAAGCTCTCCCAGTAATCCTAATGGGCAGCAAAGTTTGAGAATCACTGTTCAAATGTATTCTCCACCCACCCCCCAGGTGCACATGACCCACCTGTTTTTGTCTTTGTTCTGCCCAACCATTCTCTCCCAAGCATAAAGCAGCGGTTTGATGGGGCACCAGGTTTAGACGGGAAGCCACCTGGTTTCCTTTTTCTTTGTCATTTCAGCTCTTTGTAAATTTAAACAAGCATGTCCAGGTCTTAGTCCTATATCCACCCCAGACTTTGCATGTGACCCGGGATAGGTTACCTCACCTTATCTGCTATCTAGGGACACCATTAGGAGTTTAGTTTATTCCTGTGTTTGTGCCTTCATTCATGTCTGTGTAAGAATCCTGCCCCCCTTTTTCAGGATGGGCAGTGAGTGCAAAGTGCTGAGAAATGGAGGGTTCCTCTTACAGGTGGCTGTTGATCCATCACCTTTCACCAGGGACTAAATTTACCTTAAAGAAGAGTGCAGATCAAATTACGCATCAGAAAGCACGTTTCATTAAAGAGCAAGAAAGGGGACAGTGTTTCCCAGGAGAAGATGAAAAGAAAAGGATTTCTTTTCTTGTCAGAAGACTTGACAAAACAGCAACTGGATATCAAATGTTCAATGCTAATTAACAAATGCTTAGAAGAAAGCTTCCATCTGATTCCCTCTCCCTTACTGAGGCCAGAGAGCAAATGGCGGGTAGCAGCCACACAGGGCCTTTTCTCTAGCATTAGGGAAGCCATACAATGTTGATATGCTCAAGAAAACACTGGACAGGAGTCAAAATTCTGAATGCTTGCTTCTCTGAATTACTGTGTGAACTTGGAAAAGTCACTTAACCTCTTCAAGCTTCAGTTTCCTTATCTGTAAAAAATAAACCACATTGCACTAAAGTGTGACTTGCCTAACTGAAAGAGACCCCCTTCTCCCTCATTTGTAAAGGTCAGGCATGGAAGCAGAGCCCATCTGTTTCAGAGCCATGATTCACAATGCTTAGATCCTTATGATTATCTGAAGTTTCAAAACACAATTCAGTAAAATGTTTTCAATTTAAAAACATGGGCAAAATTTATATTGAAAATAAAGTGGATGTTACTAATATTTTAATTATGTTATTTCAGCCCCCGCCAGCAAAAGAATTCTTATCCCTGACATATGCCCATGATATTAGCCAACATCTTACCTCAGAAATTAATAAGATTAACAAGCAACACGGAAAACAGATCTAATTTTAATATATGTATATCAGGTTACTTTGATTACTTTACTACTGACAATGTAAATTCTGTAATCGATAATACTCAGGACTCTCTAAGCTTTAAAAAGGCCCATTTGTACACATTATTTGTCAAAAGTTTTTCAATTTTTTTGTCCCCACAATATTTCTCCGAGGAAGATAGTACAGTTACAATATTGCCACTTTATGAAAAGGGAAATGGTGGCATAGCATGGTGTGACTGACCACAATGTCTCAATTTACCAGCTGGGCAAGAATAGAACTGGGATTAGAACAAGGTGGGTTTACTGATGCCCAGGCAAATCACAAAACCAAGGACTATGGTCACTTCCAGTGTGTAAGATAAAGTATTTTAGGAAGTGAGAAATCCTTTAAGACTCATTTCAGACTGGGCATGGTGGCTCACAGCCTGTAATCCAGCACTGTCGAAGGCTGAGGCAGGATTGCTTGAGGCTAGGAGTGCATTGGTGGCTGCAGTGAGCTACAGTTGAGTCACTGCATTCCAGCCTGGGTGACAGAGCAAGACCCTGACTCAAAAAATAAATAAATAGGCCGGGTGCAGAGGCTCACACCTGTAATCCTAGCACTCTGGGAGGATCGCTGAAGGTCAGGAGTTCAAGACTAGCCTGAGCAAGAGTGAGACCCTGTCTCTACTAAAAATAGAAAGGAATTAGCTGGACAACTAAAAATATATAGAAAAAATTAGCCGGGCATGATGGCACATGCCTGTAGTCCCAGCTACTCAGGAGGCTGAGGCAGAAGGATTGCTTGAGCCCAGGAGTTTGAGGTTGCTGTGAGCTAGGCTGATGCCACAGCACTCTAGCCCAGGCAAGAAAGTGAGACTGTTTCAAAGAAAAAGTAAATAAAAGAGCAAGCCGATATGGTGGCAAGGAAACCTATAAAAAAAGACTCATTTCAAGGTAAAAAGGGGATGCAGAGTACCTGGTCCAGGAAGCATCTTATCCTTACTTATCCTTTCTGAATAGGAGGCTGCCTCTGCAGTGGTGAGCAAGCACTGAAACCAGGTTGGGGCTGAAAGGGGTTTTAGACACTGAGAGGCTGTGTGGTAGCTCCTACTGCATTTTCCCCATTGTTTCAGGAGGGCTCTCCCCGCCTCTCCAGGTTAGAGTTCGGTGGGCCTCCCTAGGTTTCTGCTGGCTAGCATGTGTCCAAACCCACTACCTTAATGGTGACAGTGTGCAAGTGTTGCAAGAGGAGAATAGAGGAGGAAGAGGGTACAGAAGAAGGTAATAAGCAGGAGATGGCTTCTTAAATCAGCATGAACTCCATAAATGAGGTGTTGGCCAGGTAATCTGTGAAGTAGCTTGCATTCAACTATTATTCTGGGGGAGGAGGGACGGGGAGTTAAGGGGCTTAGTGTTCTGCAGAGAGGAGTCCTGAAATGACTTCCTTGGAAATTCTACCTTGCAGCCGCCCACCCTGAGAAACTTCTTTTGTGGATGGGAGTAGGATGGGGATGGAAGTGAGAGACACGGAAGAAAACTTAGGAGTATTTTGGGGTGTGTGCTGGTGAGGAGGAGCGGATGTTTTGAGCTCCCCCTTCCCCTCTGGCCCTCAGACCTCTGAGAAGATCAGACCACCCTCTCTGGAATTCACATTTTCCAGGCTCAGCGGATCCTTTATCCAAAGAAAAATAAGAGAAGACTATCGCCTTGCTCTATCGAGCAGGGCTACGATTCCCACTGTGCCCCTTGAGCTTACAAGAGCGGGGGAGGGCAGGCCTGGGCAAAGACATCTGGAGATGGGGGGAGCTGGCAGAGTACAAGGAAAGGTGGACCCCCACTGTGCCTCACAGCACCTGTCACTGAGCCTCCGGAAATTCTCCTGGGCTCTGGGCCCCAGTCCCACACCCCCCTTGCGCTCCCCGCTCCCGCCTCCTCCAGCTCCCGCCTCCCTACCTACCAGCTCCTCCCCATAAACTCCCCACTTCATCAGCTCCTCCCCCATCTCCCCTCTCCCAGCTTTCTCGCTCCAGCTCCTCCCCTCCTCCGCGCCTCCTCGCTCCCCTCCCCCTCTGCCGCTGCTCCCTGCCCCCGCCGCCGCCGCCGAGCTCCATCTCCGCAGTCTGGGCCGCTGGGTGCAGAGACTGCCGCAGCCCGGGCGGCCACTGCCGCCTCCCTCAATCCCAATATCCATTGTCTGCCACCCCACCTGGCCCTCCGCTTCCCCCACAACCATGGCGCAAGAAGCTGGGAGGAACCCTCGTCTCGGGGGGCCCTGCGGGGAGCCAGCGGAGCTCCGAGGTGCGGTAGGGTCGGGCCGCGGTAGGGTCGGGCCGGGCCGGCAGGGATGGGGGCGGAGGAGATGCGCCGGGGTCAGGACTTTCGGTGGGCGGGATGAAATGCATGATTCTCTGCATAGGGCCGGGTCCTCACACCCATTCCTTGCACTCGCTGGTGGCCTGGGGTAGGGAGGGTGACAGAGGAAAGGAGCAGCATGCGCTTGCCGCCCCCGCCCCCCCACCACGCTGAGGTGTCTCCTGTCCACGCCGGTCAGGACTGAGCTCTAGTCTTCTGCATGGCCTGATGGTGAGCTCATTTCCCCACCCCCAACTAGCGGTTCCTGGGCTCGTTCTTAATTAGAGCCTCTGTATACCCAACCCAACCGCACCACCCACGCTCTCTCTCCTTGTCTTCTCCCCAGGTGATGCTAGCGAGGAGGACCACCCCCAAGTCTGTGCCAAGTGCTGCGCGCAATTCATTGACCCAGCTGAATTCCTCGCCCATCAGAACGCATGTTCTACTGACCCTCCTGTAATGGTGATAATTGGGGGCCAGGAGAACCTCAACAACTCTTCAGCCTCTTCTGAATCCCGGCCAGAGGGTCACAGTAGTCCCCAGGTCATGGACACAGAGCACAGCAACCCCCCAGATTCTGGCTCCTCTGTGCCCACAGATCCCACCTGGGGCCCAGAGCGGAGAGGAGAGGAGTCTTCAGGGCATTTCCTGGTCGCTGCCACAGGTACAGCGGCTGGGGGAGGCGGGGGCCTGATCTTGGCCAGTCCCAAGCTGGGAGCAACCCCATTACCTCCAGAATCCACCCCTGCACCCCCTCCTCCTCCCCCTCCCCCTCCACCCCCAGGTGTAAGCAGCAGCCACTTGAACATTCCCCTGATCTTGGAAGAGCTACGGGTGCTGCAGCAGCGGCAGATCCATCAGATGCAGATGACTGAGCAAATTTGCAGGCAGGTGCTGCTGCTTGGCTCCTTAGGCCAGACGGTGGGTACCCCTGCCAGTCCCTCGGAGCTACCTGGGACAGGGACTGCCTCTTCCACCAAACCCCTGCTACCCCTCTTCAGCCCCATCAAGCCTGTCCAAACTGGCAAGACACCGGCATCTTCCTCCACCTCCTCCTCCTCTTCCTCAGGGGCAGAAACGCCCAAGCAGGCTTTCTTCCACCTTTACCACCCACTGGGGTCACAGCATCCCTTCTCTGCTGGAGGGGTTGGGCGAAGCCACAAACCCACTCCTGCCCCCTCCCCAGCCCTGCCAGGCAGCACAGATCAGCTGATTGCCTCGCCTCATCTGGCATTCCCAAGCACCACGGGACTACTGGCAGCACAGTGTCTTGGGGCAGCCCGAGGCCTTGAGGCTGCTGCCTCCCCAGGGCTCTTGAAGCCAAAGAACGGAAGTGGTGAGCTGGGCTATGGGGAAGTGATGAGTCCCTTGGAGAAGCCTGGTGGAAGGCATAAGTGCCGCTTTTGCGCTAAAGTATTTGGCAGTGACAGTGCCCTGCAGATCCACCTTCGTTCCCACACGGGTGAGAGGCCCTATAAGTGCAATGTCTGTGGCAATCGCTTCACCACCCGTGGCAACCTCAAAGTGCATTTTCACCGGCATCGTGAGAAGTACCCGCACGTACAGATGAACCCACACCCAGTGCCAGAGCACCTAGACTATGTCATCACTAGCAGCGGCCTGCCCTATGGTATGTCCGTGCCACCGGAGAAGGTCGAGGAAGAGGCAGCCACACCAGGTGGAGGTGTCGAACGCAAGCCTCTGGTGGCTTCCACTACAGCACTCAGTGCCACAGAGAGCCTGACGCTGCTCTCCACTGGTGCAGGCACAGCCACGGCTCCAGGGCTCCCTGCTTTCAATAAGTTTGTGCTCATGAAAGCAGTGGAACCCAAGAGTAAAGCTGATGAAAACACCCCCCCAGGGAGTGAGGGCTCGGCCATCAGTGGGGTGGCAGAAAGTGGCACAGCAACCCGCATGCAGCTAAGTAAGCTGGTGACTTCACTACCAAGCTGGGCACTACTTACCAACCACTTCAAGTCCACTGGCAGTTTCCCTTTCCCCTATGTGCTAGAGCCTTTGGGGACCTCGCCCTCTGAGACATCGAAGCTGCAGCAACTGGTAGAAAAGATTGACAGACAAGGAGCTGTGGCAGTGGCCTCTACTGCCCCAGGAGCCTCCACAACCTCTGCCCCTGCGCCTTCATCCTCAGGTTCTTCTGGACCTAACCAGTGTGTCATCTGCCTCCGGGTGCTGAGCTGCCCTCGGGCCCTACGCCTGCATTATGGCCAACATGGAGGTGAGCGGCCCTTCAAATGCAAAGTGTGTGGCAGAGCTTTCTCCACCCGGGGCAATCTACGTGCCCATTTCGTGGGCCACAAGGCCAGTCCAGCTGCCCGGGCCCAGAACTCCTGCCCCATTTGCCAGAAGAAGTTCACCAATGCTGTCACTCTGCAGCAGCATGTTCGGATGCACCTTGGGGGCCAGATCCCCAATGGTAGTACCACGCTTCCTGAAGGCGGAGGAGCTGCCCAGGAGAATGGCTCTGAGCAAGCTACAGTCCCTGGGGCAGGGAGCTTCCCCCCCCAGCAGTCTCAGCAGCCATCACCAGAAGAGGAGTTGTCTGAGGAGGAGGAGGAGGATGAGGAAGAAGAGGAAGACGTGACTGATGAAGATTCCCTGGCAGGGAGAGGCTCAGAGAGTGGAGGTGAGAAGGCAATATCAGTGCGAGGTGATTCAGAAGAGGCATCTGGGGCAGAGGAGGAAGTAGGGGCAGTGGTGGCAGCAGCCACAGCTGGAAAGGAGATGGACAATAATGAGAAAGCAACTCAACAGTCTTCTCTGCCACCACCACCACCTGACAGCCTGGACCAGCCTCAGCAGATGGAGCAGGGAAGCAGTGATGTTTCAGGAGGCAAGGAAGAGGGGGGCAAACCCGAGAGGAGCTCAAGCCCAGTGTTAGCACTCACCCCAGAAGGGGAGGGCACCAGCACCACCTTGGGGGAGGAGCTGAGCTTTCAGGAAGCAATGAGAAAGGAGCCAGGAGAGAGCAGCAGCAGAAAGGCCTGTGAAGTGTGTGGCCACACCTTTCCCACCCAGGCAGCTCTGGAGGAGCATCAGAAGACCCACTCCAAAGATGGGCCACTCTTCACTTGTGTCTTCTGCAGACAGGGCTTTCTGGAGCGGGCCACCCTCAAGAAGCATATGCTGTTGGCTCACCACCAGGTACAGCCCTTTGCCCCCCACGGCCCTCAGAATATTGCTGCTCTTTCCTTGGTTCCTGGCTGTTCACCTTCCATCACTTCCCCAGGGCTCTCCCCCTTTCCCCGAAAAGATGACCCCACGATTCCATGAGCCTGTTTTTCTGTACCTGCTGCCCTTTGATCCAGGGAGCAGAAACCAAGAGCTCCATAGAGGACCTCCAAGATTTATGAGCCTTTATTTTGTCTTTTCCTCTGAGTTCTTCCATGCTGTGTCCCTAGTGGCTTTTCTCTAGTCCTTTCCCTAAGCTTGGAAATTATTGTGCTTACAAGAGGATGCCCCCCTAAGGAATTTTTCTCCCCTCTTCATTCTTTGTACCTGAGGAAAATAGACTCTCTACAGCTTTCACATTCTCAAGGTGAATCCTCTCCAGCTTCCCTGGGGTGACTCTTCCCTCTCCTCTTTCCTTCTCCCTTTCCCTTTGGCAGGTGCACCTGAGCTCCCACATTTGGAATTGCAGCCCAGCCCAAAGGGGCCGGTAGCTGTCTCTGGGGGGCACAGCACCACTCCTCTCTAGTGACCAGGTCGACCTACAGGACTTCTTGTCCCAGGACCTTCCTGATCAGCTGGTAGGGGTAGGCCCTCTATCCTTCTGGAACCAGTACATGGTTTTCCTGTCAAGTGGCCTGCCCACCGAGCCCTGGAGTTCCAGCCTCACCTCTACTAGCACTTCAGGCTTGGCCTCACCAGTGCTGTTTAGCCCAGGAACTGTGGCTGGGAAGGTTCCTCCAACAACGGCATCCAGAGAGGCCAAGGAGAAGACAGCCCCCCTCCTATTTCAGCCTTCTGCCTCCAAGGAGGTGCCTGAGAAGCCCATCGTAGATGATAAGTAGCAAACTGTACATTCCATCTTCTGTCCCCTGTTCCAGAAGGTGCCGTCAATGAAGTTGCTACAGTAATTGGTGGCTCAGTCCTATGGCTCAATGCCCTAGGAGGTAGGGAGAAATGAAAGGCATAGGATAATTTTCCCAGTAAATCCCTTGTCACATTAAGGCAAAGATGTTGGTTGGTCGATATGCTAAGACACCTCCAGTTTCTCATTCATCATGGCCTCTTAAAGTTGGGAAACAAGCTAATTTCTTGCCAAGAGGTCTCCCGTGGGATATTTTGGGAAATGTGAAATTAGTTGCTATCTTTGCTGAACATTGTTGGTGAGGGTGGTTGAAGTAATGAGGGAGAATTGAGGAATGTTGCTAAAGCACAGAGCTTGCTGGGAACCTATGTGATTAAAAAAGGGACATGATGTAAAGGAGGGGACCTCAAATTCTTGTGAATGTGGACATTCTCGTGCATATTCTTTTGGGCTAATAGTGACATAGAGTGCAGCAGTGCACCAGAGATCATGGGATTTCCTAGCACTAGTGTGCTTCTAGTTTTAGATAACTCCCTCTGTTATTCCCTGGCCCCTTGTATTTCCTCATCTTCCTCTCCTGAAATCCCTTTCCTCCCTGTTTTGCCTATCCATGGGCTGGGGCTCATGTCTTTACCACTGTCTGGTTCTTAGGGTCCCAGACTTTGTGGAATGAGTTCCAGGTGGTATCCTCCCTGCCTCTCTGTCTTGTAATGAGATGTAGTATTTACTCTTAACATAGGATCATTTGGAACAGGAGTTCTGAGGAGGAGACAGTGAGGGTTTGCTATTGACTGACTTGAGTGATGGCTTCTCCTCCAAAGCTGTAGGCTCCAGAGCTTCCTAACATAGTAAAATGTCAAGAGCAGACAGGGGAGATATTAGTGTCTTTCCCTCTATCATTAAAGGTGTTTTGACCAAATATTTGTGTTTCTCCTTATTTCATGATTAAATAGCCAGCTGGGGTGTGATATGGGCATTCCCTAACATTGAGATTCCCTTCCCACCTACATCTCCTGCCAAAGCTGAACATATGGTGTTGAAATATTTAGTTTATTCAGGCTTGTCCTAAAACAACCTTCGATTAATGTAATTTCCTGGTGGAGTTTGTGTTCTCAAAAGGTAGGGATTTGCCCACTGTGCCCAGTCATTGTCTAGGAGGTTTTCTGTTTGCCTAGAACCTTCCCCCAGCAGGCTTTTATGTTTTGCTTTGTTTTGTTTGGACATTGAAAGCTGTGTCCTTATCAGTCTTTCCCAAACCCCAGGCTAGCCTACTGACATCAGGGACTCTGTAGAACCAACGTGAATTAAACTTTATGATCCTTGAGATGTGATGTTATAATCAGAAAGCAAAAAGAGAGGAATTCAACCCTAATAATTTCTACTGACAAGATAAAGGAGGATTCTTATCATTAAGAATGCAGAGGAAGCACATGGGGATGAGGTGAAATGAAAGATTTTTTTCTTTTTTGAGACAGTCTCACTCTGTCACCCAGGCTGCAGTGCAGTGGTGTCATCATAGCTCACTGTAACCACAAACACCTGGGCTCAAGTGATTCTCCTGCTTCAGGCTCCCGAGGAGCTGGGACTATAGGAACATGCCACTGTGCCTGGCTAATTTTTTCTATTTTTAGTAGAGACAGGGTCTCAAGCTTGCTTAGGCTGGTCTCAAACTCCTGTGCTCAAGTGATCCTCCTGCCTCAGCCTCCCACAGTGCTAGGATTATAGGCATGAGCCACTGCACCAGGCCCCAAAAATGTATTTTTTAAAAATTTTGTCTCTCCACATGATAAAGATTTGTAAGATCTCACTTGTCTAAAGAATTTAATTTTGTAAATTCTCTAGATTTTTTTTTTTTTTTTTGCATTTGTAAGATTATAACATCACTACATCTTAGTGCTAAAGGGATGGAACTGGTAAAATGATTTGCCAAAAGTCACTCAGCCTATTAGGGACAAAGTTGGATTACGAACCCAGGTCAGCAGAATCCCTTACTTAGTGATCAGAGATGGTGTTCAGTTTCTCCTACATCATTAAGACTCCTGATGTGAGGCTTGTTGTAAGACAGAGGGGAAGGAGGTAAGTAAACCTACTCTTGGCTTAATTCAAGGTAAAGCTAATGTTTGATTCTAGCTGCCCCCACCAGAGCAATACAGATCCCCTTTAAAATATAGCTGGTGAATAGGAACACATGGGAATCTTTAATTCCTGGCAAAGCTTTGTAAATCTGTTTTTCCTTTCAGCCTATGGAAAGAGGTGGGTCACCAATCCTTCCATCCCCATAACCTCTCCCAGCCCCACTGGACATAGATAATACCATTTAACTAATTAAACCAGACTTGCCTTCTCTTTAGGTGCCAGTTCCCATTATGGTAACAGCTGTCAGTGAGGCTTCTATTGATGGATACTTCCTTGGGCAGGCCAGCACTAAGCCTGACTCCCCACCCCCCTTTCTCACAGCTTTACTTTATTTTCTCGTCTGTCTCCTTTTCATTCTTCTTCTGTTCTGCTTTTCTTCTTTCATTGACCTTTCCTATCTGACAGCTTTTATTTCTTTTTCTTTTCTCTCTTCACCCCTATTTATTTTTTCTCTCCTTAGAACCTTTAATTTCTTCCTTATTGCAAGTGATCCTATCCCCACCCTCAGCCCCACCATTCCCCACTCTCACTTTTCACTGGATCATCTTTTTGGAAGTTGAATTCACTCTAACTTGCTGGAATGAGTATGTAAATAAGTGCTGTTTGCAAAACACCTATTTTATGTGAAACGAACATAGAGGATCTAGTTCAAACTGGATGAATAAAAGCATCTCTATTGTAAGAAGCAAGAGACAGCTTCTTTGCTCATTCATTCAGTTGATTTTTGAGGATTTACTTTGTTTCAGAGACCAAGTGTTGGTTAGGTACAAAGGTGAATACTGCCATGCCTCGCTTAGTGACAGGGATATGTTCTGAGAAATGCATCATTAGGGTGATTTTTGTCATTGTGCAAACATCATAGAGTACTTACACAGACCTAGATGGGATAGCCTATTACACACCTAGGCTACATGATACAGCCTATTGTTCCTAGGCTACAAATCTGTACAGCATGTTACTGCACTGAATACTGTAGACAATTATAACACAATGGTAAGTATCTGTGTGTCAAAACATAAAGGTATAGTAAAAATATAGTATATGGTATAAAAGATAAAAAATGGTACACCTGTATAGGGCATTTACTATGAATGGAACCTGGAGGACTGGAAGTTGCTCTGGTGAGTCAGTGAGTGACTGGTGAGTGAATGTGAAAGTCTAGGACATTACTGTACACTAATGTAGACTTTATAAACACTGTACATTTAGGCTACACTAAATTTATAAAAAATAAAGTGATCGTACCATAACATTATGATGGCTATACCACCACTAGGTGATAGGAATTTTTCAGCTCAATTATAATCTTATGGGACCAACGTCCCACATGTGGTCCATTGTTAACTGAAATTATGTGACACATGACTGTAAATAAGATATACTTCTGACCTTAGAGGAGCTCAGTCTAGGAGAGAAAATGTAAACAGGTGCTTTTTTTTTTTAAGGTAACTATGTTACCCAGGCTGGACTGGAATTCCTGGGCTCAAGTGATCCTTCCATCTCAGCCTCCTCAGTAGCTGGGACTTACAGGTGTGACCACCATGCCCAGCTTTAAACAGGAACTTTGGTGGTATTCATTTATGTTGGTAATAAGTACTATGACAGTTTTGAATAATGTCTTGTGGGATCCCAGAGGGGGAGATAAGTAACTCACAATCCAAAGAGGAAGAAGGGGAAGGGGACATGCAATTCTATTGAATTCAGCCTTCATACTAACCACTCTCAGATATATTAACTCAATCTATGCAGTTACCATTTAAAAACCTATATTAAAAAAAAAAACAAAACTATAGAAGATCCATCATGCCCCCTCTGGCAGACACAGAGATGTGCTGCTTTTGAAATGCTACTTCAAGAAACAACTGGCTACCTGCAAGGATCCTGGTTATCCCTGTCCTCTTCTTCAGCCCCAGCCCCAAACTGAGCATGGTACAAGTGCTTGGCCATTCCCATGGAACTTAGGACTCTAATGAACATCTTTGCGCTGGAACTCCCTATTGAGCTGACAAAGACTTTGTCATGTCTGCATCTCGGTTTGACAGCTCTCCCTGCCCAGTTCTGCTTTCTCCTTCCTTTCTTTTTACAAGTATTACTCCAATAAAACTTTTGGACTCCTGTCTCGGCATCTGCTTCTCAGAGAATTCACCCCTGAAAAAGGTCCAGATTCTATTGGAACATTTTTGTCTCTCACAAACTCCTGCACCTGGAACTCTGGTTACCATTCCTGGAACTTCTTAGTCAACCAATGAACATTTTTCTCCTGATCCTCAAAACAGATTTTACTATTCTTATTCTCAATTAGGCTCAACTTTGACTTCCCTTTACATTTCCTTGTCTTTTCTAACTTTTAGTAACAGTAGATTGGCTAACCCTTGTGGACATTTTGCTTTTGGTCAAATAGTAAAAAACTGAGTATGAACAAGATTTAAGACAAAAACCCATTCAGCCAAAGAACCAAGTAAGCAATGCAGCATTTGGTCTGTACTGTGGATGTTTCAGTAATGCATTGCTATGCAAGTAACCATT